CCAGGCTGGCCCGGGGAAGCCCCAACCGCCACCCACTGCTCAGGGACCTCCCACCAGCCCACGAGGCCCGGCCCCCAACAACAACGAACAGCAAGCAAACGCAAACACGGCCAATCAGAAGGCAGCACCACCCAAACAAGCCGCGGAGGCACCCCCACCACCCAAGGCACTAGACAGGGCAGAGGAGCTCAAGGCTAAAGGAGTGATCATCGACGATGGCATGAACCCGGTATATGGACAAGGTAGATCATGTTTCTATTATGTCATATCATATCATATCATATCATATATCATATCATATCATATCATATACATGTATATAGCAAAGCAGTAACACAGTTTAGTTTAGCACTGTTGTAAGAAGATGGCTTCAACTTTCCATAAGTCATGGTCAGGTATTTATATACATGTAGCTACACATTGGAATTGTCTTTCGCAGGTTTGGAGCCAATACCCCCTGCAGAGGATGAAGATGATCAGAAAGGTGAGTTCAACGCTATACTCTTGTGTGTTTGAGTTGGTCAGCTTGAGAACTGTATGTGATTGCAGGAAAATTAAATGCACAGTAACTGTTGTTAGTACTTCTTACCTACCTACCTGCTACTGCTGAGTAAGTGTACCTTTTTTACATGCACCAATGTTTGCAACTTCTTGTCAGCCATCAGCCATTCAGACCTGCCTCACCTGTTGTTGAGGAAAAAAACTACCAACCAATCACATCGCCCCTTGACTGCTGGCAGCGACATGATTGGCTGGGAACTATCCCTCCAGCAACAGGAGGGGGAGTATCTGATTGGTTGATGCTGGCCAGTGCTTAGGCAGTGAGAGGGAAGGCTTTGCAGGCTGTTATGGTAGTCTAAGAGCTGTTGCTTGAAAGGTACAAGCTTCAGATACAGGATGGTTCTTGTATTGCGTGTCTGCATGCTGGAATGGGGTGGGGGATCTTACAATTTTCAAAACACTGGTAACAGTAACAGTGCCTCTTCCAGTAGTTTCATACTCATACTGTAAGCATCTCATTTTGGAAGTAGTGTTGACCTGGTTTGATTTTCCAGTAGGTAATTGTAACCTTCAACATAGCATCACTGAGGAAACCACAAATACTAGCAGCATATCCAGTGCATAGACAGTCACAAATACCTAGATCTCAGGGAGGTTAGTGATGATAAGTTGGAACTTGTCATTTTTTTCTTCTTTTGCTGTTTTATAGTTTCCCAATGCCTCACTATAACATAACTTAATTGTCTACTTTATTATTGTATAAATGTTTTGGAAGGCTGATGATGCTAGTAGCTCATTTTCATAGTAAAAACAACGTTGGAATATTTCTTTCCCACATAATCTGACAGTTGACTTGTGAACCTTATCATCATTCACATTTTTGCTTGTCTAAAATAGATTTTTGCATACTAAATTATTCTTTTTGTTTTATGGATAGCAGGAAAAGAGCAAGAAAGTACCGTAGGTATACCCTTATGTATCAGACTATGGCTATCTTTTCTTCATTTTTCGTCTGTATTTTTTTGCCCATTGTTGGTCCTTTGACTTTTGAAATTTTTAATACATTTTACTTTTTTTTTAATATCTGTATCCTTTTTCTGCCCACCCCCTTCCTTTAGGGAAAGAAAACTAAAAGACAAAGTAAGTAATTTCTTAGTATAGTGAATAGATTAACTGTGTTCCAACATAACAAACATGTGGCTCTGGATTGTAGGCTATCCATACTGTAGTCTTTACAAGGTTTGGGTATCCATTTAGCACATATATATTAGGACATGGAGTTTGTTATGTTGGAACCCAGTTATTAAGCTATTTACTATGTAAACCACAGATGAGATTTCATTCTAATTCCATAGTTGAGAAAAGTTGGCCACTTTTGCATGAAATGGTTAGTAATGTTCCTGTGTCTAGTGTTGTACTTCGCTGGAAAAGTGGAAATCCATCTTTCCTCCTAAGTTTTGCTGGACAGATATGACACACTCAGTTTAGCGTCTGTTGTTCCCAGTCTTCCGAGGATTAGACGTGCTTGCACACTGATACTGAGGTTTGATGGCAGCCTGCCATTTGCCTCTGTCCTGTGGGTTGATGTTATGTAAGTTTAGGTAAGGCCACGCCAATTTAATTTGTTGGTTCTCGGATTCGCCTCTTCATTTTTTTCTGATTTGCAAAAAAAAAAAAAAAAGATCCTGGTTCTGAATCAACTCAAAATGCTCATATTTTGCCCCCAACAGTTGAGGAAATTCCTTTTCTTCCTAGTTGTTACAGTTTTTTCCATCTATCAAGGCAGTGGTTTGATTAAAAGTTCAAAATTTGTACTTTAAATTTTAACCCAGCCTTTTTTGTCAACTTCATGGCTCATATTGTAGCATTTGGGGCTATAATAGGATGCCTAGACCTGTTTTTATTTTTATTTTTTTTCGCCCTGTCGCTTCATATTTTTCTGAAAAAATCCGAGAACCAACAAATTAAATTGGTATGGCCTAATAACAAGTTACAGTTATTACAAGATACACCAAGCTTTCTAATATTAATCCTGACTGAAACTCTGACCACCAGACAAGGGGGGCAAGACTGACCACATCAAGCCTCCCATGGGACACATGCGCAACGCCAGTAACGTCAGCAACCTCAGCTTTGACCTTGACCCAGAGTTCGTGGCCAAGGCCAACCTGGTGACCGCCAACTGTAAGACTGAGGAGGACCTGGACGGTCTGGAGCAGGAGTTCGACCTGATGAAGTTGTTGCAGTCCAGCGTGAACTCTATTGAGAAAGACTGCTACCAGGGCTCCAAATAACCACCTTCATAACTACTAATTCACATGATGTAAAGTACATTCTTTAGAGCTACAAAGATGTGTGTGATGATATAATTGACTTCATGAGACCATTTGTAGACAGTTTTTGATAGTAGGGAAGGAAAAAAATGAACTTTTGACCACCATTGAGAGAGATTGCTACCAGGGCTCAAAATAACCACCTGTTACTGAGCTTTTTTATCTGCCGCCATGTTGGTGTCCCTATTTGCATGTCAGAAAATCACAGCTCAAGCATTTTTGGACATTTAAAGAACATTTAAGTCTTTCTGACCTTGTTACATATATATATACAGCTCAAAGAGGAGAATATCAAAATCATACTGTCTAGTAGACAGAAACAACTTGCCACAAAAATGTGTGCACTTGAGCTACGATCCACTGAAACAGGGACTTCAACATGTCAGTGAGCCCCTACCTGCTTTGTTGATGTAAGAATACTCATTTGCAGAGGACTGTGAGGAATGCAGGTAAACATACATACAATTTACTTAAAATTATGCGGGCGAAAAAAGGCTTAGATCTTGAATCACATGTAGCAGTGAAGAAAAGCGTATACATATATGGCTGGTAGCTTGCAGAGTATTTTGCAATCACATTCTTGTTGTCATGTACCTTTATAACACTATTTGATGAGATGCATACATATACTCTAGTGCACATGATGTGAAGTACATTCTTTAGAGCTACAAAGCGTGTGTGATGATATAATTGACTTCATGAGACCATTTGTAGACACCAGTTTTTGATAGTAGGAAAGGAAAAATATGACTTTTCTATGATAAATTGCAAGTAAGATTGCATGATCAGAGAACATTGCAGTTAACAGAAAACTTATTTTAAGCCCTGGCTTTGTCAGCTAAACTTTCTACAAGTTGTAATGTTGGTCTACAAGATGTGGTATGTTGTGTTATATATAGGGAACAAAATGTAACTTTGCACAAATCAAAGAAGTTACTCTCTCTACCCATCGTAGTCGTACAAGTTTGTAGCAATGTTGTGTATGAACTTTTTCGTAAGAAGGAAGTATGTGACTGTTTTCCCAATGGAAAATCAGATAAGTTCAGGTTCAGTAATTGTTTCCCCAGTGTTACCACCATGCAAGGACAGTTCAATGAATATTTCAGATCAAGCACTTATGGTTATATTGTAGAAGGCTGCAATTGCACTTGTATAATGAGATATTACAAATCTCTACAGCCCACCTGCCTTAAAATTTTCATTCCATAAAAAATGCTGTGTATGTGATTTGACAATTATACATGTAATAATAATTTTTCTGTATTTATAATAAGGTATTGGTCATTGGTGAGTTTAAGTGGTGTTTGAGAAACCAGCTACAAAAACAGATCTAACATTCTATGTCTATCAGTCATCATCATCTTTAGTACCACTTAGCTTGGTATGTATGATAGAAATATGATAAATCAGGTTGACTGGAAGTTGGGTGGATTACATATATTATCATATTGTTTTATAGTGTCATGTATGACACTGCAGTAGATTGTGCACAACTGTGATGTGCTTTACTTTTAGATGCAGTTTTGTCATGAAATCAATAAAGATTTCTCATACAATTTAATGAAAAGAGCCTTTTTATTGCCAAATACACTTACCTGCTACCTACACAATTTTAAAGCAAATACTTTATGAAAGTCTTAGGGTACTTAATCCCTGTACAGTCAAATTTTCCCCAAGTGACCACCTCTATAAGCCAGCCATCTGGCCATAACCACCACTTTTTCTCAGTCCAGATTTTTCTCACCATAGATGTTTTTTTTTTTGGTTTTTATTGTCCAAACAGTACCCGTGCAGTCACAGCCTGTATACGGCTGAATTGATGCAGGGTATCACATAATCAATACAAATCACAACAATTACAACAATCAAATAATACACATGATACACATATTTGTCGCAAGGGTCTGTGCGGCTGCCATTCGGCGCCACAAGGTGACCTCAATACGACCTTCCCCAACCGAAGTTAGGTACCCATTCACACCTGGGTGGAGTGAGGAACGTCGTGTAAAGTGCCTTTCCCAAGGGCACAACGTCGGGGCGCATGTTCAGACATGTACCGGGTACGACTCGGAATCAAACCCGGGTCTCCCGTTTCATAGTTGATTGCTCCATCCACTACACCACCCGACGCCACTACAATAGATGCACAGTGACCACATCAGTCATGTTGATTTAAAATCCCTCTGCTCCGGAGTCATCACCAAAAACTAATGTTGAATGAACATTGCCAAAATTGAGACATTAAAATGTGGCTGCAAACACAAAAATGTCATCATCTCCACTTGGTTTTATTTGATCCCAACCTGCCATATATCTAGGTAGTAAACATAATCATTCATAAATTTTGAACCAAATACCTTCAGTGATTTCAATTTGGGGCTTTTTTTTCTTTACACTGACCTGCAATTCAGTACTTGGGGAAAAACTAGAAACCAACAGTTCTGTAGGTACAGTATGGACAATGTTTAATATAATGATGATTAACAAACTGGCGGATAGAACAGTTGTACATTAATATGGTGACTACTATTATTACATGTATTTTTCAAAACAACATTGGGACATATTTGCAGCATTTGTTTCATGTGTTATGTAACATAATTCCACCCAGATCTCTATGTGCCTGAATACACAGTATTCAACATGGGACCATATATATCAGTGATACAATATCATACTGGTACATGTACCTTTCTTACATGTAGCTATGACAATTTCACGTTTAAGATTATATGGTGCCCATAGATATACCCCCTTGTTTGTTGGTTTTACTACATCCATAATGATTTGTATAGACTTGTTACATGGTAATGATATAGTCCATTGCTTTTCCATGAAATACAGTGTGCACTGTATTGTTCAATAGACCTTTTCAACCAAAAGAGAAAACATCTTTACATAAAGTCCTGACAATCCTTAATGTTTCTTACTCCTTCCTGATTATTTTCCAAACAAAATGACAACTTGTTATTATTCACTTGCCCCATGATCATAAAAATGTAATCCATGCAGTTTCTGTATATCAAGTGGAAAATAAGTATGGTAAATACTTGTTATATTTCTTTGTTGACTGTGACAAAAGTATTTGAGTAAAACAAAACAAAACAACACATCACACAAAAACACAACACAACACAACACAAACGAGACCCCTACATTAAGACAACTCTAACTCTAGCCCTTACAAAAAATGTATAATGTCAAAACATAGGGGTGACAGAAGATAGGATTATTCCCAAAAAATAACAGTTTAGGACATACCAGTTTAATTTGCTGTTTCTCGGATTCTAGAAGAAAAACAAGTGACAGAAAGAAAAGAAAAAAACAGGTATCCCATGATAGCTACTGTAGGAGCCACGATGTCAACATACCAGAGTGGTTTATGATTCAAACAATGAATGTTTAAACCTCAATTCAAACCACATGGAGAAACTAAAGAAGTAAAACGAGAACAGAACAAGATGAAATGCATGTAACCCTTCAAGTGTCACAGGCCAATATTTCAGTCTAGTTCTGCTTGGCCCAAATCAGAGGGTTGAAGGATACACAGTCCTCCTTAGCATATTATCTTATTATTTTGTTATCTGCAATAGTTTGGTGCATTATGAAGTAAGTTTAAACTGTAATGTCCAACACAACAAAAATTGGACTCACCCAAATTTTCGACTGTACAACTCCAGTCTTTTTCAAGGAATGAGCAATCCACCGCTTCCGTGACGTCACGCAGATAACACACGTGACTCCGTGAGCAGTGGATCATAGGTTGCAGAAAGTCTGTGGCGCCCCCCGTCTCTGTTGAGGGATGGCTGTAAAGCCCTGATGTAGATGGCCTCTTTAATCCCTCGTGCAAAAAATTCCGGTTCTGTGTCCTATGATCCACTGCTCACGGAGTCACGTGTGTTATCTGCGTGACGTCACGGAAGCGGTGGATTGCTCATTCCTTGAAAAAGACTGGAGTTGTACAGTCAAAAATTTGGGTGAGTCCAATTTTTGTTGTGTTGAACATTACAGTTTAAACTTACATCATAATGACTTCTACCAACACAGATGAACTTTCAAGATAAGTTTGGTGCATTGTTATACTCTTACCAGAGGGATGAAGATTAATACATGTACCTAAGAATGGTCATTGCTAGCTACACCTTTACATTATATGCTTTCCACAATGCAGTCTTTCCTTGTATAGTTTTAACTTTGAGTGTATCAAGTATTATCTTTAACTAACCATTAACTAGTAAAATAGCAACATTAATTCTTAATATATACATGTAATCATCACATCAGTTCCTACGTCATATCTTAATTGTCTAATCTTAAAGAAGAAAAAATATATTTTTGAAGAAAAATTTGTCTAAACGTCCCCTCAAAAATAGCACCATTATGAGGGTATTTCCCTTTACTAACTTGATACTTTTCTACTCTCCTGATGTAATATTGCCGCCACCCTAACAATGGTTAATATGCACTGTAAACTGTACGTTTTTTATGATACAGTGCCTGTGTAACAATTCTTAGACTTCAGTGATACTTTAAACATCTTAACAGTCACAAAAACCGGTTCTGTGATGGGATGAAAGTTAATGTATGTCACACTTCTGTTGCAAACATCAAAATTATTAACATAATAACACAGCAAATATCACTAACAATTTACATTCAGCAAGGTATAGGAGAATGCTGAAATGTTCATATTACATGTATCTTATTAAACCTTACCGGAGTGTAACCATTGTACCCCCATTTGAATTGCATTGAACGGTGCAATGTTCTCTAATTCTGTTCACTTTGAAAATAAACACATCTGTATGAAATGAGCACCCTGATTATAGTACATGTATGTCAGTATGTATGCTCAGAATGTCCCTAATACTTTTCTACCCAAAGTATTCATTCTTGATTCTTCATCCTTCACTTTACCATTCTTTACATCAAAAGTCTCTATTGTAGGATTTTGGATGATTATGGTGTCAAAAATAGAAATGTTGTCAAAAAACAAAAATCTGCCTATTCATATCTATAAAAAAACAGCTTCTTCAATGTTTTTATTAGTCACATTCAAAGTGTGTATCTGTGGACTTAAGATGACCAGTATATTGTGCGTTGTCTAGTTTGTCACAACATCACTAAGTCTTGTGTAATACATATGTGAATATCCCTGTTAGGAAATGTAGGTTCAACTTTAATACCGTGTAAAAAGATTCCAAATCATTCACTTTTTTTTCCATTCCGATCCTACAATAAGGACTTTTACGCCCTACGCACAGTCACTATTTCTAAGTACCTAACATTGTATCAGATCTGGACAATGTAGAGTGGCATATCAAATATCACCACACCATTTCCTTCAAACCACAAGCCAAACCCAACGCTCTCTGAACAGCCAGAGCTGTGCTCAAACGCCCTCTAGTGTCTACTTCTGTAACTGCACCTCACCACAACCACTTCACCAGCTTCCTCTCTAACATTCTACTTTGAACTGCACCAAGCTCCCCATCTCTATGCTGTAGTAAGTTTCTGATGACAGTATCCTTGAACTAAGCCAACTTGAATAAGCTTCTAGTAGAGTTGTACCATACTTAAACAGTCACATGATACTGACAAAAATATGAGCAGACCGGATCCACAATGCAAACTTTTAAATTGCATCAACATTACAAAGTATTAGTTCCAAAATGATCATTCTCAATAGGTTCAGTAAAAAATGAAAACGCTGTTTACGTGACAATTTTCATTTTCCCGAAGGTTTACTGTATATAGCATAATCGTGGCACCACATTGAAGGTAAAGATAGTGTAATTTTACAGGTACATGCAAGAACAGTGACATCATTTCTAATACAGGTACAGTAAATAAACTTTGTGAACAATCAGTAATGAAATCGTCATAGACCATCTTGAATTTCTGAACATTTTGGCATATGGAAAGTCTAACTTTTGTGACTGCATGATTTTACAACATTTTATTAAATTCTAATCATTTCATACTCCAATTGAACAAATTTACAGGTGTACAGATTGCAAGCAGGGATATTGCTTGTGATGTAAGTTACAAGCAGTGTCCCTAGTATAATTGAATGACTTAGCACAGCACCGATGGCAGTTTTAGCTTGAAAATACTGAATGGTGTTCTTATTCACACAATGTAAAGTTAACCTTCGTGCTACACTTTTCTACAACAGCTCTCAACTATTGGGAAATTTTGTAGCCTTATTGGCTCATCAAATGTTGGGCAAAAATCCAACAGTTAGGATGCAATCTTTTATTCAGGGAAACTGTCAATTAATGAAATATTGATTGATACTTTGAAGTCCTTGTGCTACAGGTATGATTGCATCAGTATGTACAATGGTATTCCTCCATGGACCAGTATTTTACACAATACAAATGTCTCCACTCGACGTGAACACTTCCTACAAAGTAACGACAGCTCAGCTTTCATACTAATAGCAAGTATGAAACCTCAGAACCCAAAATCATAAAAATGACAACAATGTGCATTATGCTGACCTATTCAGTCACAATGTTCAGCAAATTTCTGTTTATTCCACACAGAAATCTCATAAAGAAAAGTTCAGGAATATTACACACACAGACAGCAGGCAAATTTACATTTGCCAGAAATAACAAACAAACAAAACAATACAACACACTCTGAACCACACTTGTATATTTGTATTGCCCTTTTTTTAACTTACAAGTTACTAATAATGCGATTCTCTGTGACATACATGTACATGTAGTATTACTCATACAAGGATATTCAAAACACACTTGTAATACAAGTCAAACAGTAGATTTATCATATGGTCAATGCTGGTTGTTTGTAAAGCAAGCCCTTTTGCTTCATTTTTCAGGGCTTGTTTCGAATGTGTTTTCAGTTAGACTTCTGGAAGAAGCGGCCTCTTGCAGTCTTTCTTGTACTGCTTCCTCCCCAACAAAGTAGGCATGTTGCAATGCTTCCTTCGCAGTTATTCTTCTGTGGGGGTTGAAGCACAACATTTTCTGTGGAAAAAAATACAATGATACGATTAACATAAAGCAAGCAGCCTACTCACTACGGTTTTGCATTGATTCCCCCCAAACAAAAGGTCACACCCTTTCAGTTTAGTCTTTTTTTTTCGCATCAAGTGGCGCACATGGCAGTGTCCGTCTTTGTTTCAATAGCCCTGGGCAACACATATACAGCAGTGCATTCACTACAGCAGAGGATTAGTCTTTGGTATGACTCGGCCGGAAGTCGAACTCACGACCTACCGAATGCAAGGCGAGCACTCTGCCCACTTGGCCACTGCACTAGTATTTCTGTAATCCTACTAAAACATTAACAGGTAAAAACAAAGCCATATTGGTAGAGGAAAGAATCCCTGCTTACGTCTAACATGTCCTTGGCTAGTGGTTCTACTTCCGGCAGCAGTGACTCCAGAGGGATGGCCAGGCGGGGCTGGAACGAGGACCACGGCAACGACACTTCCTCTGGCCATTCCTCCTTACAGGGGGTACCTATTACACTGGGGAGGGGTGTGAAAGGAACAGATGATCATGAAAGTTCATCTGTGTTGGTAGTAATCTGTTGCTAGTAAAATGTTTAACTTTGTTCCAACACAAAGATTGAACAGAGATCAAATTTTCAATGACCACTGTCACCTTCATTAGGATAATTATTGACCAATCTCTTACAAATCAAAATCTCATGAGAGTTACGATTACAGACATACTGGGCACCAAAGGGAAAAAAGCACACTGCACAAGACTTACCTACATGTACAAAAGCATTGGTGGTAAACACACAAATCACAATACCATCAATATAAACCAAAAACATGCATGAAACCAAGTACAGAATGCCAATGAAAAGGGACAGCAAGGTTGAATGGTATAGAAACAAACAGATAAAAACAAAACTTTGTTTTTTTAGCCCCAAAGCTAGAGGATTGAATGTGTTTGCTGCATTGGCTCAAGATCCATCAACATCATAGCAGGCAAATGTTAATTTTATACAAGATTTTGCAAGGCAATATGTTAAAGGTTAACCAGGGCTCGAAATACCTACACAATACCTGGGCTGCCTGCACTAACCTGCATATAATTTCGAGCCCTGTTAACAAAAGTGCATATTGGAGGAATTTCTGAGGAAGACACACCAGCAAGAGAGGTTACACCATACTCACTCACTTTATCTTTCCTTCTCAGTTGACAGACCTAAATACTTCAAGAAACACAGCAAAGACAGAGATGCACATACATGATAAAGCTTTGCATCTAGAGCACTCAGTCCATATATTTGATATATCCAGAAAGAAACATGTGGACAAGAAAGAAACATGTGACAGATTCAGACAAAAGAGAAATAAAAAGAGGTGGAAAATCAACTTTGTAATACAGATAATTTTATACTCACTCAAATATTTTATTTAGTTGATCTATATCTGAATTCCCTTGGAATATTGCTCTGTAAAAAATGTAAAAACAAAATATAAATAAGTGAAATTATATTACCACATAATATAAGCATAATCAACACATTTAAGATAGATTGTTGCTTATTTTTCCTTTAATAAAACCATTTCACATTCTAGTTACCACATTAACTGCTGAAAAATGAGTTGTGACAAAAGAATGATAACACAATCAACTAATAACTTAACAGGTAACATGGGGTTTATCAAGTGGGGTCGTGTGGCGCAGTCGGTAGCGCGTTCGGCTCACACCCGAGACGCCGTGGGTTCGAACCCTGCCCATGTCACCGATCTTGTGCCCTTGGGAAAGGCACTTTACATGACTTTCCTCACTTCACTCAGGTGTAAATGAGTACCTAGCTTCGGCTAGGGACGTCCCTCGGATAGGACGTTAAATGGAGGTCCCGTGTTTGGGAGATCCACACCCCACGCACGTTAAAGAACCCACCGCACTTATCGAAAAGAGTAGGGGACCTTCCCGGTGTGAGTGGTTCTAGCCTTACAGTCTGGTCTCGGGGTTGACATCTTTGAAGAGGTGATAGTCACCTGTTATGTCAATCCTTCCACAAATGTGGTAAATCGTCATAAAATTATCAGAATGTCAGCCAAAGTAAATTGCTGCAGTTACTCACTTTCTTGTGTGTAGCTCTGCAAATATACAGCCAACACTCCAAATGTCTACAGGGGTGGCGTACGATGCCTGTAACAGCACCTCCGGCGATCTGTACCATAGTGTAACCACCTGCACGGTAATTAGAACAGCATACGTGATTGTATGAAACCAGCTATGGACCAGCACGTCGGCAGAACGCACTGCACCTGCGCAAAACCCGTAATGTATTGTACATAGCACTTCGGCAGAACGTCACATATAAGGTCGTACTAGTGCATATAAGGTTAACATCCCGTCTGTAGTTTCCAAATGTTATGTAGGAAAAGATATCCTTTGCAACAGGCAAAATTCTGATGCAACGTTGACCAAAAATCCACTGAAAATCGTGAAAATACAGGGTTCTGCGCAGGCGCAGTACGTTCTGCCGATGTGCTTTATGGACCCATATTGAACCTATATTGACAGGTGGCTTTTGACACATAGATCTAGCACATACTGACATTAAAAAAAAAAAAAACATTATTATAGCTACAGTATTCAGTAATAAAAATGTATGATTCTAATTTTGTTGGATGACTCTAAGTTGCAAATGTTCATACCAAATGCACAACCTTGATCATTTTCATCAAATTTCTTTTGAATTACTCATTAAAACCAAAAAAAATGCATTTGCATTTACCACGGAGGTCAGAGCCATCTGGAAGCTGTAGTGTCTGGCCAGGCCGAAGTCTGCCAGCTTGACTTGTCCGTTACTTGTGACCAGGATGTTCTGAGGTTTGAGGTCACGGTGCACCACTCGGTGCATGTGTAGGAACTCCACCCCACTTAGCAGCTGATGCATTATGTCCTGATGAGGGAAACAGAGAGGTCAGAAGGGACAACATTTACCAGAAGCATCGTGTGGCATAATGGTCAGAACATTCGGCTCGGAAACCAAGAGGTCCTGGGTTCTATTGTGTTGGAATAAAGTTTAGCATCAAACTATCACGCTGATCTAATCTACATACTAGTCAACCACTACTTCTGGTACTACATGCACCTTTATTCTGTCTGGTCCCAGCCCTGGTGCAGGGCATTTCTCCAGGTATGTGTGCAGGTCCTGGTCCACATGCTCAAACACCAGTGTCAACTTGGTCTCCTTCTCTGCAACTGTACCATGGCAGATGTCCAGGAGTCTGAAGATGGAAGAAAAACTGTCTGTTAGACCTTTACTACAATTTGTATTTTGTATTTGCATTATTGGCAATGAAACAGATCATTACAAGAGTCAGCAAAGGCAGAACTAAACTGGTTACAGGTGAGACACAAAAAGTACAGAGGCAAAATACAAGAAAACAATGAATTGCACACACAATGTGAACACAATAGCACAAAAATGTATTTCATTGTGATAATATTTAGTCACCTGAGTCAGAGGTAACATCATTATGATAATTTCTATCATGCAAAAAGGTACAGAAATACTTCATAAAAAAGCCAATGATGGGTGCAGTGCAGGTATGCAGAAAAAGTATTTCGAGCCCTGAAACCAAAAGACAGAATTCCTGTTATAACCTCTGGTCTATTTAGACACATTGTGAGCATCCTTCCAAAGACTCCCACTAGGGAACCACCTCACAAACATGATAACATGGCCTTCCCCTGGGTCCTGCCACAAAATACTTATCATTCTTCTCCCATCAGCTGCCAAATCTGGACCAGCTGCAACTGGAGGGAAATAGACTGTAGCACTAGAAAATGAGACACCTTTACGAAAGTAGTGATGGTTTTTCCAGAAAAGTGAAATACTGTACATCCTGAAGTGTTTGGTGTTTACATTTGTCTGTTAATGAATAACTTCAGCACATAGTGAACCAGTCATAACTGCTCTGATGAAGATAACAGGTGGTCATTGAAATGTCAGCTCTTCGTGAACAAGTAGTTGTGAATAAAAAAAAACTTTGCTATTCGGTCAAGCATGTGTCTTATTACCATAATATGGTATCATTTCAACCAGTGAAACTCAAACGCATCACTTTCCAATTTTCACCACACACATTTTGTACTAAAACCTTTGGAGAACTTTTTCCCACAGGCATGTTGACCTACAGTACCGTTCGCGTTATAGTTAACCGGGTACCCCGTTACTAACGAGTTATTTTTTCGTCAGAAAATGGTTAGAAAATCGTCAGTATTTGGTTAGATTTTCGTCAGAAAATGGTTAGAAAATCGTCAGAAATTATTTCTAACGCGTTACCGTTTGCGTTAATGTGATAGGGTCGGATTTCATGTTTGTTTTGCGCGCCGACAAGACAATAGCAATTTGCCACCTCCTGGGGCGTCCGCTAATGTGTTGCGATGTTGCCCCTTGAAAAATAACAGCACCAGAGGCAAGTGGACATGTGATTCGTAAAATAACTTTGTGGTTTATCCATGTGTCGACTGTGTGAAGCGAATTGTGCTATCTTTTAATGCTATTCTATAGTTATTTCTAGCGGAAAATTACGTTGTGTAATACAATGTATGTCAACAAAGTGTAGCAGTGGGCAGACGATGTCTTGTACATTTTGTACCAGCGGCGGCCTACCGCTCTCACAGGACGTCATGGGACGTGACGAAACAAGAAATATCTGCCGTAGAAGAAATATAAATCGGTAACTCATGCCTTAAATTTACGGCGGTTTTTGACACAAAAGAAAAATTATTATAATTTTTGTAAGGCGCGCGGCTTACTAGTACTAGCGGCTTTAATACTCACGGTAAAATGTACCGTCACTCCCGGCGCAAGGACTCGGTTCGCCAGCTGAGGACTTTCCACAACCATGATGATATCATAGGTAATAAAGGAACATATAATAGATCTATCATGTGGAAATGATAATTGTAATACATGGTTCTATTTAATAGCGGTAGTTTCGTTTCTTATTTTGAGGGGGGAGACTGTCAAAAATCGAGGGAACGCAAACTGAGATCGGCTCACTTCCGGGTGCATAACGCCAAAATTTCTCGACGATTATATAAAAATGACCGCTCATTTGCCGCCTACGGTAGCGTGTACATGGTAGTGCGATCATATCGTGCCAAAGTCAGCGTCAAACGTCAGAAAATCCCCGTAAAAATATAGTTGCAAAACACATTTCCCGCGCACTCAGGGCCGGTCGCCCTGGCCGCTGCAGCATGCTCATTATAATATGCAAGTAGCTACGCTCTGATTGGTTCACCTTAGATGACCTGCGCTGTGATTGGCTAGAACGAAGCCCGTTGCATGCTGGGGCGCCCTTCCCCGCGCGAAATGATCTCGAGAGAGCCACATTTACGCTGGTTTCTACCTTATTTCTACGACTAATTAGCAACACCCTAGTGACGAAATGCGTACTCAAAAGAATTTTCGGGGAAAAAAATATATGTACATGTGGATTTGTGGTGCCTTTGGCGTAATTTTGTTGGTCACATACAACGTAATGTAACACGGAAGTGCATGGAGTCGGAGTGGCGGCACGGCTTTCCGTCCCACTCTAAACAAAACTCCAAGGACATAACAAAACTCCCCAAAACTGGTCAATAATTAGCCATAAAAATGTTGGTGGGCACGTGTAAATATGCTGCCTTTTTTCGAGTGTTATAGGAATTTTCCACGATGTTTTTGCACATCCCTAACGTTACCTCACGCCCGCCGCCTATTATGTACGGCGGACCGGGGCATTTATAACTTCAGATCATCTACATTGTAGGTTTGCTTATTCGGTGGTAAAATAAGTTAACAGAGAAAAACAGCAAACCAAAGTTGACAAACTATAGAAACGCTTGCCTGGGCAACAGTGACAAAAGAAAATGTCTATCTAATTGAATTGCGCCGGTGATCGTAAAACGTTTTAAACGTTACAATATAGTAAAATGCAGGCTAGATCAACGTTCCTTCCGCTGTTCCAGCGGTGTGTATCGGTAATTTCCCGCCCCGCATGAGGTAAATTAGTACTCCTCCCATTATTCTGTGATGTTACCGCGGCCTGCATATGAATGCAGAAGTCTAACGGAAAAGTAACGGAAAAGTAACGGAAAACTTACGCGAAAGTTACGGAAAACTTACGGAAAAGTAACGGAAAAGTAACGGAAAAAAAACGCGTTAGTAACGGCCGTTAGGGTAACTATAACGCGAACGGTACTGTATAAGAGGGTCTGCAAGCCCTATTTCGTAAGGCGTAATCAGACTTCGTAATTCCTAGGCAGCCTCCGCAAAAATCAACGTAATTCGTAATTGGGCATTAGAGGCAAATCATAAAGTCGTAATCAGCTCTGAGACTTTAACGTAATTCGTAATCGGTGGCGAAAATTTTGCGTAATTCGTAATCACTACCCCCCCTTGCAGGCCCTCCTATAAATCTTGGTTGAACACCTTTGGGAAACCTACTGACAGTCGATTAGATATACCAGATAAAATTCCTTAAGGTTATCTTCTAATCTACTGAGTCCATCTAAGAAAACAAACTCATAAATTTCCTGTGTCTTTCAATATGCCACCACTTCAAGGGGATCTGCATGGGGCTTTATCAAAGTCTATGCCAAATTCTAGTCTAGTATCTCAACCTATATATTTATGAAGGGGACAAAAGAAACTCATCAGAAGCTCATAATAGGTTTGTATACCAGGCTAGCCAAATTCAGGAGGGCTGCCTATGTGCCTATGTATTACAATAACTTCAGGAGGGCACTTGTGTAAAATTTGGCCACCTTGCTACAAATGTTGTGAAATTAAATAGCCTTCCCTACATTACGGGAAGTGAATATGTTTTTTCTTAGTTAGTAATGCCTTACAGAAAAGGGATAATGTTGGCCGGCACCTTTGATCTAAACTCCTACATTTCTTTAAACCTCTCCTTCACCACAGGTAACGTATGCAAGGTGTTAAAACACAATCATGAAGATTTCCAGAAAGATCACAATTACGGATCAGGAGAATAGAAGTCAGCGTGGGAATGGTGGGCCAGTTTGAACAGGTCTGCTCCAGGCTAGGCTTCCATGTTACTGTGAAGTATGTTGATGAATAGCTAGGATCACTTCTCATTTAACATGGGAATGTGTGGCATGTCCACTATGCATGTAAACCATGCAGGGTTAGGTCAGAGCAAGGCTCCTGGACAAACCTATTGTTTCCTTCCTACCTGATGAGGTTTTGTGTGTCCTAGTAACAAACTCACACTACAACCTCTCACAGCTGATATAGAAAAGAAGGTACTACTACCTGTAAGAAATGACAAGGCACAAAGTTTTGATGCATGAAACAGTCTGATTGGTGGTTGAGTTCAATGGGTCCTTCTTCTTGACAACAGGCCTTTAAAATACATTTTGACAGCCAAATATACCTGGCAGTGACCCCTAAAGGTCAACTGAAGCAGAGAAAACAGTAACAAACTCACACTACAAACGCTTACAGGTGATACAGAAATGAAGGTACTACCTGTAAGATATGACAAGACACAAAGTTTTGGTCATGACTGTTCTATTGGTAGCTTATGATTAAAGCTGAGTTCAATGGGTCCTTCTTCCTGACAACAGTGCTTTAAATACATTTTGACAGCCTGGCAATGACCCCTAAATGTTAACCGGAGAAAAGAAAACAGGGATCTTTTGGGCTATTCCATTTAATAATTGGGGAGACCACAATTCTTTTAAATTCAGTAATACATGTATTACCATAACTATTCTTTAATCTTTTAAGACAGCAGGTGGTTGAGGAACAGTATACAAAGCGTAAAACATTTTTAAAAAATTTCTCAGTGCCGTAGATTTACAGACGTCAACGTGTACATTCCAGAACCACCTGTACACCCACACCTAAAAGAAAACATTGAAAAACACCATGGATTCTTCAACAATCTGATCTGAATTTATGCCCTGGGCTTCTTTCTCCGCTCTGCTTTTTCTGTGAACAGGCCCTTATCATCATCTTCCCGTGTGAAAATATTGTGCTAACTCCCTGACCTTTCGGCCAATTGACATACAACGAAACTCAACACTTATACCTTTATGGTTCATGAAGGACTACAATATAAAAAGGAATCCTAGTAATGTTACAAATACCCCCATTAGTGGTTGTTCTTTTAGTGTCTAGGCAACCAGCAAGGCACAGACTTAGATAAAGACAAAAACTTGCTGAGTGTTGCAAATAGGGTAAGGATACTGTATGTACAAATGTGGT